CTAAAAATGTTATTGTTGGGCTTTTTTCAGTGTTTTGTTTGTTCGTGAGTAAATCGGTTTGGCTGAGATTAAAGTTATTAGATTAGATAAAATAAAACTTTATTAATCCCCCGGGTGGGTTCCTCCTTGGTTTTTACACAGCTGACTAAACGTCAAACAGAAAACTGATTAAACAGAAGTATGAGACAGTCGAGAATTTATGCCAGTGTCCCGTTATATTTTAGATAGCAAGGAGCAGACGGCTGAGTTTATTAAACTCCACCGAGACAGCGGTGACGCTAATCAGAAGGCTAGACCGTCCAATTTCACGGCCGTTTACTTCCGGCCTACCAGACGTTCTGAGGACCCGGCCCACGTAGACCGCCAAGGCCGGGTCCTTAGGAGGATGCAGCCCATGAATTTGGACACGACCATGTTGAGGAGGTAACTTAGCCATTTAAATCAGCTGTGTTTAATCAAGGACACATCTAAAACCTGCAGGACACCGGCCCTCGAGGCCTGGTCTAGGGTCTCCGTCAGCCGGGTTATGGTCGTCTTAACAGCTTGAAAAAAAGGCAACTGGACTTCTGCACATTTTGCACCTCATTCATTCAGTCGCAGACCAACTGTTGGAGGGTCCTATGTATTAAAATGCCTAGTGGAGGTTGTTCTCTTGTTTCCTGAAGGTTGAGCCTATGAAATGGTTCACTCTAAGGACAAAACACCCAAACACAAGCAAAACAACACAGTGTATGCGGTGCAGTGCAGCGAGAAGTGATTAGATCTCTACATAAGACAAACAGCTCTCCTCTCCACAAACAGGAAACAACACAGCTTTACACCTGCATTTTAAGATTATGACACTCCTTCCAGGATGCCAGTGTTTATATTTTGGGCAGAGAAGACACATGATTTAAGATACAAGTGAAGGGCGCCATCGACGTCTACTGTAGCTGCTATCACCCACCAACAGTGCAGTCCTGCGATCCATTTCAGGTGTTTCAACTCCCATTCACATTTGGCCTCAGGTGACCATAATAACTCACATCATGGTGGGGTGGGTCATTGTCTCACAGAGGTTTCACCTGTGGGCCCAGTGATGGGAATGACCCACGTTTTCTCTCCTCGTCATGTCTCATGTGACAACGTGATCAACACTGTGCTGGCGACCCTTAGGGCCAGCTCCAAGATGACACCCGCCACTAGCGGTTTATTACCTCCAACTGTTTTGGACTCCACCAGTTGAACCAAAGAAGCTTCTTGGATGAGAAAACCCATACAATCACACCCAGATAAATAAAGTCCTAAAGTACCTTCATTAGTCTGGTCTTACAAAAAGATACTCTAAGGTGTTTTTCCCTGCTTTTTTTAGCTAGACAAAAATTATCACCCTGTGCCTCTGTTAATACCATGCTAACAGAGTTAGTTGAACGGTGCTAATATTAGCATTTTTTTCTTTTTGTGTATACAGTTTGTAATTGTGGCTATTACAATACTTATACTCACTGTTTTGAGTGCATAATTGCATGACAAATTGCCACAGGAACAGCTGGACAAGTACCAGGATGCTTTACAATGAAATATCAAAAAAATGAGTGTGTAACACTAAACCTCTCACAGGTGTTTTCACATCTGTGGTGTTTAGTCCATTTAAATCAAATTATGGTTCATTTTCCTGATGGTGGGGTTCATTTGTGTAATAATGTAACATACTAAATCATGAATTGATAAATATTTTCTACTCAGGACCTTGCGTTTTGGCTCAGCATTTTTTAATAAGTTGCTTGAAGCCCTCATTTTACCACTATGTACCCACATCAATAATTTTCATCTACCCTGGTCTCCCTGTCAAATCGAGCGCCAGTGAATACTCCAGAGAAGCTGGTTGAGTCATTTGTTTACTTTGGGTTTACACATCACTAGCTGCTAGTATATCCACCTTACATTCCTGCTGTATGAAATGGCAGTTTAATCCTCAAGTGGTGAAGTTTGTTGTTTCCACCTTTAGTGGGATCAGCTTTCTTGCTTATTTTGCAAAGTTCACAGATAATAAAATAATGACAGAACAGAGAAGAATTACCCTTAAAAAACAGTTTTGAATTTGGCGCATCATTTATATCTCTACATTTTAGCAAGCCTACTTAAGACTAGTACATTGGAGAAAAGGGCAAACAACGAAGAAAACAAAAACAAAAACATTTTATTATCCATTCTTGCAGTTAGGATAAGCCAGTTTTAGTCATCCTGACTCTAAAGGGTATTTAAAGGGTATCTACATTAGCCTGATTGAAGGTAACAAACAAAAGGGCACTCTGTAACAAAAAGGTAGCAATTAGCACAAGTTATTGCTTCCCATTCTTCCTAGGAAACTTCATCACACACCCACAACCCCATTACGTACCCACACCTTTTACTCCATAAAGCAATGCAACTAATCCTGAGTATTTTGAGACACTGAAGTATCATCCTGTGTTTGTGTGTGTGTGTGTTTAAATAAAGCTAGCAATAGTTATGGTCAGCACTGTTGTGTTTTTCCTGAGATCAGGAATGTTTATCTTTTTGACAAAATCTTCAGTGGGTTTGTGGTGACGTTTAACAAGTCCATAATAAACAGGTCTTGGGTTGAAATGGTTCTTCATATCTTTGAGTTATGAATATGAATCCTTCTCCACAGAGGTACCTTGAGATGTCTTCACAGTGTTTTACTGTGGGTTTGATACATTGTTGTGTGGTTTCTCTCTTCAGTCAGTCTCCTTGCAAACAACCTTCCATTACTACCACGAACCACAAAATAGGATTCATCAGTAAATAAAACTTTTTCCATTACAAAGTATGTCTTTATAGACGCTATGCATCCTCTGACACTATGACCTTGTTTAGACAGAGAAATTTTAGAAATTCTTTAGCCAAAATTGCTTGTCCATCACTAGTGCAAGACTTGATGGTGTGCTAATTTTGTCTGTCAAATCCTGCTTTGATTCAACTGATCCAGTTGTCACCAAGTGTTTTTGAGGTCTGTCCTCTTAGAAGCCTTCAGTCTAGTCATTAAACAGTGTTGGGAAGGTTACTTTTAAAAATGTAACCTTCAGATTACCACTACAGATTACAGATTACATGCCCCAAAATGTATTTTGTAACGTATTCCGTTACGTTACTCAATGAGAGTAACGTATTCTGAATACTCAGGATTACTTAATATATTATCAAACTTTTTACAACTACATGAATCTACTATTGCTGTGTGATTTATTACTTTTACTGAAGGTTACTGCCCATACAACTAGATTTTTAAATCTTAATATAAAACGAGTAACAGTAGAGTGGACATAGAAAACGCGTATATAAAACAGGTCCGCGGCTCTGAACTGTAGTAAAGGGACCTCTGGCTAATACGTCGGGTTCATGTCGGGCTCGTAGCTGAAAACTAGCTTTACTTTGTTGTCTGGCTCAACTTTTCTAGGGAGAGACAGAGAGAGGAGTTGAAAGGCTGCTGCAACAGAACTTATTGTTTCGGAGGAAAACACGAACACGGTGTACAGTCGAGTCTTAATAGCTTACTTACAACTGGACTACACTGCCCATGAGGCTACATTCTTTAGGGCTATTCCTGTACTGGCAATTTTTTGAACAATAGTTTTAAACAATAGTTCTTCCCGTCATTATGCGGGTTGAAATTAGAGGTTAATGCTGTCGGGCCTTCACTGAACCACCAGCAAAAGAAGATGAAACTACACGTCATGGTTGAAAAACACAGAAATAAATTCCCTCTTACTTTGGCTGTTTGGCTTCCACCACGATTAAAATCACACTTTCTGCACAGCTCCCTCTCTCTCTCAGTGAAACCGATTAACCATCAAAAATCTCTGTTTTCTACATTATTTGCTTGCTTATTACTCAGCAGTCAGCCGCTGCTTTTTTGTTTTTACAAAATGACCTCTGACAAGAAAGCCTAACTTCTTCTGTTTAATACAGAAGAAATTAACATTTTTGTAAATGATGCCAAATTTCAAAACTCTTAGCTGTGTCTCTAATAAAACGTCTTTAAGTTTACTCTGTAACTTTTTGCTTTTCTTTCAGCAGCATCAGGTAATGTTCATGAGTTGATTCATGGTTTTCTTCAGTTTTTGATCTGCTGCAGAATATTTTTAAGCCTATCCACTATAAAAAGCCAGACCAGAAAAATCTCCTTCATGTTTTTTTGTGTTTTATCCTCAGTTACTTTGACACAAAGGCATCTGCTGTGATGCTTAAACCTCTGATGAAGTCTCACAAGCTTTGTTTTTATACACAAATATAAAAATATGGATATGTACTGATAAATTGTCAATTAATATTTATTTAAAATAATATTTCTGACTGAGTCCAAATTCAATCAAATCAAATCAAATCCAGACCTATGAATCAGAATTAAACCAGCTATAGAAATCAGTGACGATACCCAGCCCTATGCTACACCGGCCACGGCTCAACACAGTAACCTTAATTTGGAAAGTCATCTGCCTTTCACTTCAAGTTAGATTTGATCTAAAGCCAAAATCACACCTACATTTTTCAGGTATGCCCCTTTTTCCCATATGGCTGACACCAAGTAAAAGCTAATTCCCCAGTGAATGCTCATGACGGAGCCAGACATAGCTGATGGCACATTTGTGACCCAGCAGAAAAGCCTTTATATCTGTCCTATATCTGTGTGCTAAGTTTCATTCTTTTTGCCAAGTCTACATCACTGCAGGGAGTGGAGAGCCGTTTATAGATATAAGGGTGTCTAAATGGATTTTCTCAAACACTCTGCACTGTTGTGGTTTTTAAACCCACATCTTTTTGCTTCTCATCAGAAAATTTGTCAGTGTGGCAGGGAGGTGGAGGTTAAAAAGTTTGTTTTGCCCAGCAGAACGTTCAAGCTTAGGGCATTAGTCAAGCACATCATATTAAAAAGAGCCCACAAAAGGTTATCTGTAATAAATTAGAGTCGGCAGTGTAAAAATTCAAGGCATACACAACAAGATGGGGCAGCATCTTACCTATTGCATCTCCTTGTTCATGAACCATGCTGGCCAGATCCTTCATGATTTGACTGACATCCAGCATGTCTCTCTATGGAGAAATCACAATGAATGCTCATGTTAGTCCTCCGTACATATCAGTCCATGAGAGACAATGTGCACATAGGACAAAGATTATAGCTTGAAAAGTAAGGTTATTATTATTCATTTATTAATAATATTATTGTCCATATTTACACTGTTTGGTCGTATTAGATGTTATCATCTTTATTACTTAAACTAAATGCAAAGTACTATCAATATTGAATAATGCACAAAGTCATCTTGCATATGTGAGCAGGCAGTCAGGCTTAATTACAGAAACAGAATATGTAAGGTAACAGAATAACATAACATTATTTCATTTCACTACATTTTTTTTATTTTTTATTTTTATCTAATAAAAAAGACTCTAAAGTTCAAAGGTGGGATTCTTTATCACCCTGATCAATCCTGATCGATCAAATAAGTAGTAGAAAGGATAGTTCATGGTTTCAGATGGACAGAGATCAATTGAAGCCAGTTTTGACTGATATTATGTCAACAAAAAAATTGTAGGAAACTATAGTGGCTTTTTGTCATCCTTAAATGTTTTGCTCATAGTTGTGCAGCTATGAAGGATTTCTATAGAAAATGCAATTCTAATTCAATTTCCCTGTCCCTTTAATTGACAGTGGATTTGTGTCTAATCCTAAATGTTTTGTGCTTGGCTTGTCCAAAAGTAAAAAAAAAATGCAGTTCAAAGTTTTTGTTCAATTATTCCACTGTCAAGGCACAGAGCGAACTGGTGCAGCTATGGCTGACCGCAGCTAATTCTCCACAGTCTCAGAGCTTTGAATCTGCTCTCAATGTTTCAGCTCAAAGCAATATGAAAGCTTATAAAACCTCTGTCTATCTCATGCTCGCAGGTCCCCCCCTTTTCCTCCATTATGGCACCGTGCAATCACAGCTGCGTTTGTGTAGCCTAACCCACTGGGCCATCCATCACAGGTGGCGGAGTTTGCTGTGGAAACTGGCAGCCATCCTGCCACTTGGCAAAAACCATTTGAATGGAGCAAAAATGGCCCCTGGCAAAGCTTGTGATGCTAAAGACTTTTTGCATTTATCTTGAGGCAACCCTGTCCATCACCCTGTAATAGAATAATAAATTTATTTTACCTGGCAAAGCATTGGGCAATCAGGGCTCATTTTATCATAATGACAGAACAGTGTGTAACCAATTTAGCAAACACTGTGTTGCGAATAGACATAGACAGACGGGGGGACAAACACACACACATGTACACACCCAGGTGGGTTGGGGCGACCGTGGGTGGGTGGGTGCAGTGGACCCCTGCCTGAGGGCTGAGTGGGTGGCCAGGCTTGGAGCCAACACTGTGCCCTTTTCCATATTTCATGTGCTTCAAATTCTTCTCATGAGCAATCCAGAAGCCACTGCATACTGGAATCAGGCTAGGAACCAGCCAACATGGATGTTCATTAGGATGATTTGTTTGTTGCCTTTTTTCCAAGACTTGCAACAACAAAAAGGACATTCTGGTAGCCAGCTTTGATACTCCCCCACATTGAAAGGAGCCAGCTGAGGTGATTCAGGCTTCCAAGTTTAGATGGTTAAAATGAAGTTACTTAACCCTTGTGTGGTGTTCGTATTTTTGTTACTCAGCCAGTGTTCATGGGTCTGGTGGACCCGCTAGAGTTTTGGCTTTCCAAATTAACACTATCAAACAATTTTATGTTAAATTACTCAACAGATGTTTACTTCATCCCAATTACAAGACATATGAACAGCAAACATGGTTAATTTTTTCCCTTTACCTTTGTTAGATCACATTTATGAATTAATGTGCTTCTCGTTTTTCTTTTATATAAATAAATGTTATAAATAAATCAGTTATAATCAAGTGGAGTGAGTGGAAAGACACAACACATTGTGAAAAAATAATTAATTGTTTAATTTTTCTTTTGAAAAAAACTGAACACGGGTCTCACAGACCCGAACACCATACAAGGGTTAAGCATCCAAACGTCCACCTCATTCAGTTATAACAAAGCTCTTCATTTAAATGCACATCATCGTGCTTTCTTGCTTTTCAGAGGTTATGGAGATATTTTTTTCCACTAAGTGCAACTACGAGGACACTGCATTCCATCATATATAGGGGCTTTCTACAGAGCCCTCCATTTCTGACTGACCAAGACCTAAGACAACCATATAGACTACTGTATGTTTTCTCCTTTGTGTGGGCACCTTAAAGGGCATTTTATCCTGTTTGCTCTTCTATAATGACATCCTAGAGAGCCCTAGTGCATTAGCATTTGTGCCAGTTCAGCTGAATTTTCTTTCTATGACACATTTTCCGTCTGTACACAATGTTATTCATCAAAGTCAAGGAAAACTGAAAGGACACCAGTTTTTGAGTAATTCACTCTAAATTTGCACCAGCTCCATGGGGCAGTGCTCTACAGCTCACCCTGACCTTACCTCCCACTGTGGCGCACATGCAAAAACCAAGCTTGCTGTATAGGGATCAATAAAATGTCAGTGAACTTTTGCTACATGCCACAATTCTTTATGATGATAGCCAAAGAATCAGACTAATCCTCAGTTCCAGAGCTCACCTCTGCTGGTCCTCTGACACTGTCTGTCAATCCTGCTGCTCTTGTTATTGTGTATGACTGATAAAAAGAACATACTTGAATAAACGAAAGGCTCTGAGGGTCTGTATATTTTCATGCAACTAAAATGTCAGACCACAATTCAGACATCAGTTTCATCTGACACTGGGGCCTCTGCCGAGGCAGCAAAAACACAATTAAACTTGAGGCCAAGATAAAATAGTCACAACAACCCTGCCGGCAGCATCTGATTGACACCTCAGTCATTAGAACTGCATGCCTTGCATTTCTCCAGTCATAAAGATGTTTCTGATAGCAGCTGATATGAACACTTGTGAGAGAGATTGCAGCTCAATCCACAGCTTTGCAACTTGCAGATCATCTGATAGAGGATGGAAAAAGGGACTCTTTTTTTTCGATACTTTCATGCTTGTGTTACCAAGATATTGTTCTATTTATCCACACAGAAATCAGCATCAGAGTTGGTCTCTTGTGTGATTATTCTAGTCTGTTTCTGTTTTGTATTTAATTGCTCTTCACAGTTTGATTCTTTCAAGGTATTATCAAGATGAAGGTAATTTATAGTCCAATATATGACAGCAAAGTAGCTAGATAAGGTTTGATTCTCCCAGGATGACTGCAGTTTGCAGCGGCTAGCAGTGTACACACAAACATGTCTTCCCATCTTTCACTGCAGGGCAGTTATGAGAGGTTTCCTCTAGTGCCTGCAGAGGGAAGTATGGCACAGCAGAGTGCTCATGTCAGCCTTTTAAAGGCGAACCAGCATCAGTAATAAGAACCGATTAGGCATGCAAGTCAGCTATGAGGAGGGGGTGTGCCGATAGATGACACGACCCCTGAAGAGGCGTCTGGGAGATCTAAGGCGTTTTCACACCTTTTTTGCTCAGAGAAGTTACTTGGAACTCTGAAGTGCTCTCTCCCACTTAGTTTGCTTCTTTTGGCCAAATGTGAGTGTAGCAATCAGAGCGAGACCTCACTGAGAAAGGAGTCTCTCAGTACATTCCCAAGCTAAAGTGGCGCCTCCACTAGAATCTGAACGTGATCTGAATGCAATCGAACTACTGTGAGGACACGTTGTCATATGTTGTCTACTTATGTGACTACATTCAAGTTATAACATGGTTATTGAAAGGTCTCAGGTTGGCCCAACTATTAGGAATTATTTGTGACATTTTCTGTCAGTGTAAATTACAACACCTAACACTGTGTTAAGGATCAGTACTCTTTGTGACAGATAAGTTCATTTGTAATGTTTTTGGAGAGGTTAAGAGCAGTTGATTATAGTTCTGTACGTGATTATAAGTGTTCTATACTATACTTAGTATTTTACAACAAATTAATATTCTTCAAGGAAGAACAAAATTTGACTTTTAGTGGGAGAACTGACTGACCAATTTTACACCTCTGTCCAGTCTGTGAAAATAACCCTAAAGCCTTTGCTTGTATTATGCAAAATGCATTGTTCTGGATCCTGGATAAAATGTGATGCAAGGCTTTAAAATCCAACACTTTCAAATGCAGCGCTGTCAAAGTGGTGCTAAATATGAAGAGAACAAATGAACACCTATAACTTGAGTATAGAACTTGGTTGTATATTCAAATAAACCAGCTTGAATTTCACTGAGAAGCTATACCTGCCCCCTAAATAATGTTTAATTCCAACCTCACAGCCAACCAGGCAAATGTGTTTTGAAGAAATGTTTACATTGCATATATTCCTTTTTTCTGTCAGGGTAACAAGGAAAAAGAGATCAACATTCTGTGACTTTAACTTTGTTGAATATTTACGGGACATAATCTCACTACTATGAATGTTAATGAGCCATTATGGACCTTTTCTCAATTACTGTTTAACCAGAGGACCACTGGATGTTTCATACATTATCAACAGGCAAAACATTTTATCAACACCAACAATGTCAGTCTGACTGTACTGGGATTCTTGTTTCTTTCTGTTGTTGAAAAAGAAATGAATGGACAGAAAAGAAGGTGTTGCTTTTTCATTTCTATCATTTTCTTTTTTTTAATTATTATGTCACCCCTCTGATTTTACCCTGTTACTAGTATTTGATTGTAGTATTTCATGAGTTTTTACTTAACACCAACCCAAAATTATGAATAAAGAAGTCTACTATTTCGTGCCATAAACTGCCGTTCCTCTCATGGCCACCCCCCCAAAAAAGAGTCATTCTCCAAAGACTCCTGTGTTAAAATGCCCACTGTCCCATTACAATTTAAGAGTCTGGCACAGAAGCAGCAGGTGCCTGTGTAACCCAACTTACAAAAGAATGACCGAACTCCTACTAGCCAGTATCAGAAAATCTAGGATCGACAGGAGCCCAAGGTATAAACACCAATAAGGAGAGACCACACCACAGTAGACTGTTCACAAATTTGTTATATTAGACACACGGC